GTGCCAAGAACCCATTTTAAATAGCTGGAGAAATTAATGCACAGCAGTATGTTTACCTCAGGACTCCACAGAGTTAAAGGTGACACTTAAAATGCTCAGCAGCATTTTATTTGACACATGAAGAAACTGAAGGGCAGGAGGTTAAATGACTTGTCCAAAATCACACAGACTAAACACTGCCAAAGCAACAGCCTAAACCCAGGACTCTTTATGCTAGCCCAGACCCTTGGCCTAGGGAGGAAATCCCTAGACTGGGACATAAGGCAAGCTGCCATGACCAAAAAGACACTAAGAATAAAAGACTGCTTCATCGAGCAAGGGCAATGGTTCTCAGAATTTCATGCACAGCTATGCAAATACATTATTCCAAGCTGACATTGAAATGCTTCTGTAAAATTATGTATAGGATCTGGAGAGAAATAAATTTATAAGTGACCAGAGAGACTTTGGGGTACTGATTACAATATAGAGAGAGTCAGCCTAGGACTTCATCAGTGTTGAATAAGGATTAGATTCACTTAGGAAATGGAAATGAATTCACTTGGGAAACCTGAAGATTCTCTGGAAAGGAGTCAAGGTCGCATGCTTATTTTTAACCACTTATAAGAGGTTTATCTAAGTTCAAAGTTGAGAGCAGAAACAGGAACAGCCCACAATTTAAGGAGCATTCCAAAATCTTGAAGGCCAGTTTAATCACAATGTTAATCACTGGGTTTTTCATACCCAAATTGTTAGACTCAATGGTTCAAATGTTAGGCTCCTTTAATTATTTTTAAAAAGTGTTCAAATCCTCAGAATTGCATTAAGGAGGAAGAAATTTCTAACAAATGGAACATAAGTTTAAATAGCATGTTCAGAAAAGGTGTTTTAGACATATTGTGGTTAAGTCACTGGTTTTGAAGAACAAAATTGATACACACTAATGCTATTTTTAAAACAATTCGGCTTTTTATTCATAAAACAGGATTGTGTCCATTACATGTAAATGTCATTCTGTAGGCAAGTACCACTATTTACACTATTTAAGTAGTTATAACAAACAAGTTAGAAGATAAGGCCAATGGGGAAAAAAGCACTCTCCTGGTGATTACCACTCTGCCTCTACCTTGTCTGCAGAAAGCTTTTCTGGGGATCAATCAAATTCACACATCAGTTACTTGATTAGTTGCTTTTAGGTCAAATGTATGGCTTTTTATTTTCTGGTTTAAGAACCAAGATTTTTCAATAAAGAACTGTAATAGCAATTACAAGGCAACACATGGTAGTACTATGCTGCATAATGAAACGTATTTGAATGTGATTAAATTCAGTCCAATATTGAGTGATTCCAGACAATTAAAGAGAATAATTTCATTTATTCAAGTACCCTCTGGTGAACTACACATTGACATATATTTGTTCCCTGTGCTGGTAAATAAATATGGAAACCAAATTAGAGGGAGTTCTGCAGAATTCTGAGAATTTAATTATACCCTTAAATCGTACTATCCAATGATATATATGGTCAGACTTTGTACTGAGTAATTACCTGAATTAACTTCACTTTACAATGCTTAATTTATTTTGTACTAAGGAAGGCTTTAAACTATTTAAAAGAAATCAGCTTAATTTTTATTTTTTACTTGCTCCAACGTGTTTCAATTCATTAGTGTTTTAATAACAAGCAATGAACTCTCCTGTCTTGACAAACCGAGCATGGAAATTTCCTCATAAGAGAAAAAAACTTAAAATGATTTCCATATTCAAGTCAAAGCATGCTGAAGAGACAGCTTTTTAGCTCCAGGCAAGCTACTTTTTACCTCAAAAGGATGGCTACTGACAAAAATTTCATGGAAATATTACAGTGGGACTTGCCACAATGGAGTTCAAGGAAGCGGGGATTCACGACACTGTGATCCCAGGCCATTCTCTTGGGCACAGAGATCTCCTCCCCTTCATGTGCCCTGCCCTCCCCAAGCTCCTTCTGAAATCAGAGGCTACTGAAACGCTATACACAACAATACACACTAAAATCCAAATATGACGCCAATAACAATTAAATGTGACCCCAGTCTTGTCCCAAAGGTCCATCTTGAGATATTTCATTCAGAGATATGCTATATTTTCTATAAAACAAAACAAAGAGGGTTTTTTTTAATGACTCTTGGCTTTTGTAAAATGAAATACATTTTCCATATTTCCTTAGTAAAAGAAAAAAATGGTAGCATTCACCACCCCCCGCAAGTTTGCTTCTTTGTATTTAACAATTTATGTACTTATCTGGATGACAGTTAATCTCCAATGGCAAAGACAAGAAAATGTGTAAGAATATCATAAAGACTGTTCCCAGACATTTCTTGTTTATGGATATGAAAATACATCAATCTATTAAGAAAGTCATCTGAACATTAATCAAGTCAGCAGTATTTCCTCCAAGCATCAGAGTCACCAGTATTTGAATATAAATTTGATTTTGGATAGTAAGTGGCTGAAAAACTTGGGTTTTTCTGACTAAGAATACAAACAGCATCTTAGATTTTTAGATGCTGAATTATTATGATTATTAAGAGTATCAAAATACATAACCATTTTCAACAGTAGGGAACCCTTCATTTCCCTAATAAGTAATCAAAAAAAAAAAAAAAAATCATTTAATCACTGAAGTAACAAGAGATCCTGGGGTGTTTCAGACATGTGGAAGGAAAATATTTAAAGGCAAAATTCTTCAAACACATACCACTGTGCTCCTGAAAGCTGTTCCCCACATTAAGTCCCTGTTTAAAATCCCATGGAGATGATGGCTGTGAGAAAGAACACGTTGATCTCACAACCAAAGATAACATTTCTCTTTTAGATAACAGGAACTGTTATATCCACATATACACCAGAACTCTAAAGCCAAAAGCTTCTTGAATGAAAATTATTAAAAGTATTGGCTTTAATTACCAGGCTTGGTTAACTAATGAAGTAAAAACTTTCTCTGGTGGCTGCAGTTCAAACATCTCCTGCTAGTTCTGGGGCAGGCAGCAGCTACTGTTTTGGTATGGCTGTCTTTCAGTCTAGACTTTTCCAGGGAGCTTATTGTTTCTTGGCCTGTCACCTAGCTTATTATTTGTGACCTCCCTGTTTAAACTATTCCAACATTTGTTTCTATTTAAAAAGATTCAATGACACATTGCAGGCCCGTCTTCAGTGAAGAGCACACCTGGGATATTGGTCACTCCATCATGGGAACCGATGCTCTATCACGCTCTCAGAAGGTTTGATTCTGCTCAGCCTACCCCTGCTACATGAACATAAGCAGCTCCACTGTGGTCAGCATTCTGCTGGGCTCTCTCTTCTCCTATGGAATTCTCTGACTGGAAACAGTTGGGGGCAGGTGAAAAGTAAGAGGGAAGAAGAAAGGATATAGATGGCAGAGGGTCATGTTCTTTCAGGAGGTGGTAAGACATGGACCACAGGAGGGGGATAGGTTTTCAGGCAAGGGTTGGAAATCTAAGAAACAGACCTACTTCAATGGCCAGACTTAGAGACCAAGACTGCATTTCACAACTCAAAATGGTGCCATGAAATATATGGTTGGCTCCTAATGAGTCTTACCCTACAATATAAGTGGGAGGAGGAGACATGGGAGAGGCTAAATAGAATGAAGTGAGAGAAACCAGTATTTAGTCTCAAGCCTGAAGCTACACTGTATCTTTTTTATTTTGTTGGGCTTTTTTCTGGGTTATTTTTCTGCTAATTTCAAAACTTTTAGGGACATATTTGATTTTCTTTATTACTAGAGGAGACATTACTTCAAAAGACCACCCACTACTGGGCAGGAAAAAAGAAATTTATTTGTTGGGTGGCCCGTGAATATGGTTTCTTTCCTATTTTAGGATGGAATTAAGTTAAGAAAATCGTTGGTAACTCTTCATCCAAGTAAGTCAGTGTTATGATTCACCACCTGACATCTTAGCAAGCCCAATGAAATCATTAGTGGGTGACACTGCAAATGGAAGGCTATGGTCTTGAAATTTCAACTACACATGAAGTCTTTCAAACGGAAAACTGAAAACTCTGGCCACTACATTCCCCTTGGGCTCTGGTCCATCCTGAATCTAAGCAATATCCTGGAGGTGGTGGCGAGGCAGGGACAGGCACAAGTCTGAGCTACAAGAAAGAGAAGCCTCTTTTATCACTTCCTGTAAAGCTAAAACCAATTATCTACAAACTTCTGGCAATTCTAGGGGTAACAGCTCCCTGGATGCTGTGGCCACCACGCTGTAGAACCCGGGAACAGAATGTCTCATACGCTGGATCCCAGGCACTTTAGAAATCTGAGGGAATACAAAGGTGTGTATACCACACACATGGACCCCAGCTGATTAGCATGGTAGCCGGGTTGGAGAAAGTAAACACCAGAGAATCTCCAGTTAGTCCAATGGTTCTCAAACATGAGCATGCATCAGAATCACCCAGAGTGTTCCATCCAGTAGGTCTGGGATGGAGTGGGAGAATCTGCACTTTTAACAAGATTCTAAACAGTGATAGTGGTCCTGGGACCATGGGGTGAGAACCACTAGCATGTTTCTTTGCTGCTTCCCTACTCAGGTGGAGGAGCAGAGGATAAATTGTCAACCCTTCCCCTGCAGAACTGAACAGCAGCACTGTGGCACCATCTTGTATTACCTGGCCCAGGGCATGGATGGCACAGTGAAATGCCAAGGAGGCACATGATTGGTTTCTCCATTCAATCATTCCACAAACAAATGTCATCACTCACAGCATAAATCCTCTTTCTTTTTCACTAAAACAATTATCTGAAGACAGTTATAAAGCATGATGAGAAAGTAGCAATGCTGTCCAACATGCAATGGCTTCCTAGAAGTGACTGCTCTGAAAGTAAACCCTATTACAGATAGACACTTTCTATTTAAAATAATTCTAATTCTTTTAAAACCCACACTGTCTACCCTCATTGCTCTCCTTTCACAAGGTTGGCCATTATATTCTCATCTATGACTTTGCAGTCCTCTTTAATGGCTGTGACCTCTGCAGTATTCTTTTCTTTTCTTGGCTCATTTGCTCCTGAATGTCTGCAGTCTGCATCTAAGTGAGAGAATATAGGCATCGTGGATAATCTTTCAGTGTTCATGGCTGAATTGGTTTGCTGTATCTGCCCTGGGTTATTTTTCATGAGATGTCTGGAGGAGAGAGTTTCCAAAACATGCAACTCTTCATTAGACAGGGTTTTTGCCAAATCTTGTTTCAAAAGTAACCCCGGATCTGACAATTCTTAATGTTGGCAAAGCCCTGACAGCCTTATTTTTGCTTTTTCTACTATTATTTCTCTTGGGACTAATTGATCACTTCCAAGAGAAACTCTCTTGTGGTGGTCGAAGTCTTCTACAAAGCCGCAGTTCCTGCATTTCTGTTGTGCCTTGGCCGATCGTGGACTTTGTTTTGGACTTGGTTATGCTGACTCACAGCTACAGTCAGGCTCCTGCTTAGAAGCTCTGTCTTTAACCGCTCCCCACGATGAGGTTTTTGCTGGCTGCTAGTATCTTTTAGCTGGGTCTGATGAACATTTTCCAGTTTTTGAACAGGAAGCCCCCAGTGGCTTCCAGCTGCCTTTATATAATCCCTTACTGGTTCTGTGGATTTCGAAGGGGGACTGGATGAAGCTTGACCACCTCCCAGACTCCTTCGTCTTTCGGCAGTCACTGAGTTACTAGATGTTCCCACAGTGTCCCTGATGGTCTGTGATTTGCTCAAGATGCTGCTTTTTGTTTCAGTTCTTTTCACACTAAAACAAAAAAGGATTTCGTGTTTTATAAAGCTGTAATGGCATGGTCCTCCAAACTCCCTTTAACACATTTTCTATACCTGAAAAGAGAGCTTCCCACCCTGCAAATCTGGAAAAATCCACTAGCATATGTTTAAATTCACACAAGACCAAGTAATAGTGTTCATATTTTCCAATACACTAGAAAACATTTTATTTATTGATCATCGTGTTATCAATGGGGCTATAATGGAGCTCACATTTGAACTAAGGTGGGTAGATACTCAATTCAGATATTAAGGGTCAATATTGCATATGTTTGATATATTGATTTTTTTTCCCTAGGAGTAGATGCTCTAGTGTATCCAAAGCATACATTGTGTGCATGTATAGGTATGTACATGCATGTACACACATGTATACATTTTCATTTGTGAGTAAAGAATAATCTTCAGGAATTTCTTTCAGTCCATTTCAAGGTATTATTCAACTGCAATCACCATTTAGCTGGTGTCAAGGGTTGTTCATCAACCATCTGGGAGTAAACCCACTGCCATCAAGTCAATTCCAATACACAGGGAGTAAGATTCAGTTAATATAACTTGAAACATCCAGAAAAAATTCCAGACAGGATGAAAGAAAATAAAGCATATCATGAGAGATGCAAGAGGAAAAACACACAGACACACACACACACACAATTTTCTATAGTGCATGCAACAGACAATGTAAACTTCACTTTAATTGTAAAATTAACTTTGGGGGGTAGCATGAAAACTGCACATGGAAAATTTAGAAACTAAAGACCCTTAATTCAGTATATATTTGCAGACTTGTGAATAAGAAATTTCTTAAACCACCAAACTCAACACCCTGAAGTTGAAATATTTATTTTGGCTAAGCCTTTGTCTGGAAACAAATATATATTCATGTTCTTACTGCTGCTATCAGGGGCATTATTAGCATTATTAGGCTTGGAGCAAGCATCCTTACAAAGTATTCTTTTAGTTCAGTCTGTAGACACCCCGAATGTTGTATGAAAAACACTACCAACAGGTGCTTTTCCTCTTCAAGGAGGTGGTAATTAATTATCCCTCACAAAACACCTGTGAAGCAAGGACTTGCTCCTCAGGTACAGAAAGCAAGAGAAGAGTAAGGGAGATGAAGAAGAAAAGCATGTGACTTAGGGGAGGTAAGTGTCAGAAGGGAGTTGTTTATTTCTAGACTTTATGCTATCTAACTATCCCTACTTACAATCAAAAACGAGAAAAAGGAAACCCGTTAGACCTACATTTCTTCCATAGCATTTTTCTTGAGCTTTGTACCAGGAGGAAGTGGGCTCTCTGCATACTCAGCAAAATAATCACTCTATAAAGGGGCTTTTCTGTCTGCTCCAAAAGATAGCACAGGTTCAACCAGAAATCTATTAGCTGAACATAAGAAAAAAAGTTGTACTTTGAATGCTCCAACGAACAGATTTTTGTGAAGACTAAATGAAACTGCATGTTAAACTATTTAATTTTTTTCTAGCTAGGAATTTTGGGAAAATTGTCAATTCTTTTAGATTCCTAGCCCACACATTTAATACACTGATATGCACAAGAAACAAGGCTGTAATGTAAAAGATGTTGATTCCAAACTATCTGGGAACTCTTGGCCAATACTTGACATCTCTGTGGCTTAAACAGTGATAAGAGCCCAGAATCACTGTGCCAGACAGCAGCATGTTTGTAAGTTTTCTTTTTCTTCTTTCCCAGAGAGACTTGGTGGTACAGTAAGCTATACCTTTATTATCCTAAGAATCCTCCAAATGTTCTCTGTTTACAAAAATACAAAATACACAAAGTATATGTGAACTGCTGTATGGAAAGTGAATTTGCTCTGTAAATCTTCACCCAAATCACAATAAATAAAAAACAAAATACAAAATACAGTCTTCGCACTACTTAACACTACATCGAGTTAAACTTTTTTTTTTTTTAACTGTGATTTAGGTGAAAGTTTAGAGAGCAAATTGGTTTTCCATTCAACAATTCATACACTTGTTGTTTTGTGATATTCATTACAATCTCCACAATGTAACAGCATTCTTTCCACTGTCTCCCTGTGTTTACTATTTCCCTTAGTCCCTTCCTATTCCTTCCTGACTTCTGATCTTTATCCATGGGCAAATGCTGCCCTTTATCTTGTATGGTTGATTATTCTAGTGAGTATGTACCTCGCTAGTATTATTGTTCACCTTATAGGTCTATCGTTTGGCTGAAAGTTGAGCCATGGGGGTGAATTCAGTTCCAGACTTGAGGGATGTGTAAGGGCCACAGTCTCTCACTGGTCTGACAGAGGTTAGTGGAGTTTGTGATTCTTGGCTACTAAAGAACTAAGTTTTGTTCTTAAACTAACAAAACTAGCATGGTCTTAGATAATTCATAGATTATCTATCTATCTACACTTACATATTCCCATGAATGCTTCATAAGGAAATAATTATAAAATATAAAAGTCTCCCAACCCTTCATCAACACTGGCCCATCTCATACTTTTGGAATCTTTCCCTTTTTGTTATCAAGTAGATATCCAAAGTGTTAACTCTGCTCATTTTCTAGAGTACTAATTAAGTACTTTCCCCATCAAATTCTGATAAAATGATGCTATCACAAAGAAAAGTTTTCGTAAATTATCAATTGTGTTGTTAGGGGCTGTCAGGTTGGTTCCTACGCATAGCCACCCCATGTACAACAGAACACAACACTGCCTGGTCCTGTGCCATCCTCACAATCACTGCTCAGTTTGAGCCCATTCTTGCAGGTACATGTCAATCCATCTTGTTGAGGGTCTTCCTCTTTTTTGCTGACCCTCTGTTGTTGTTAGATGCCATTGAGTCGTTTCTGACTCATAGCAACCCCATGCATAGCAGAACGAAACACCGCCCGATCCTGCGCCAGCTCCACGATTCTTGCTATACTTGAGTCCATTCTCGCAGCCACCATGTCAATCCATCTTGTTGAAGGTCTTCCCCTCCTTCGTTGACCCTCCACCTTACCAAGCATGATATCCTTCTCCAGGGAATGGTCTCCTCTGACAACACGACCGAAGTAGGTGAGACGAAGTCTGGCCATCCTCACTTCCAAGGAGCATCTCAGCTGCACTTCCTCCAGGACAGATCTGTTAGCTCTTTTGGTAATCCATGGTACCTTCAGCATTCTTCACCAGCACCACAACCCAAAAGCATCAACTCTTCTTCGGTCTTCCTTATTCATTGTCCAGCTCTCACATGCATATGAGGCGAATGAAAATATCATGGCTTGTGTCAGG